GTTTAGAAAACAACTGGTGTGTAATAGAAAATACTTGGGAGGAAGCTCTGGAATGTAGCTGTTGATTATTGTGTATGGTTGGTTGCAACCGCCCCCCCAAATCAGAATTGGCCAATACCCCCCCCCCCCCATAATGATATTGTCATGATAAAAAGGTGGGGGCCTCAACTCCCCCCCAATGTTCAATCCAAAGATATGCCCTTGTTACTTCCCTTTGATTGTGATGAAATATTAAACATTTATACTGAAAATCTTCTCCTGCCTCCATGTGCTTGGGAACCACTCTAGCTATTAGCAGCACATCCAGGGTTTGCTTCTGCCTTGTGCGCTGTCCCACTGAGCAAGGTTACATCTAAAATAATGTCCTTTTGACCATCTTTGTTGCACGTTGAAAAGATGTCCCATGATGAATGAAAGTTTTAATGACGTATTTTTATGACAGTTTTGTTCAAATATTTGGACAGTACACAATGACATGTTAATTTCCTGCGCCAGTCTTGCACGTCCACGGATATCCAAAAGATATCCCAGTCAGATGTTCAAATATTGAGCTGCATATCTATGTCCAAGAAGGGTCATAGTCAGAAGTCCAAATACTGACCTGATCTGCATGTCCTGCAGGCACTCAGATATATTCCTGAACCGATCAATGCAATACAGACATAATCTACACATTGGGCAGACGACTCATGTTTACTGGGGTGATGACTGTTTTTCTGTTTTTAAAGTGGGGAATGTGTTGGGTTGTTTTTGAGTTACTTCTAAGTACTACTTGAGTTACTTCTAAGTACTACTTAGAAGTGCTTCTAAAGAATAAGAATAGCCTTGGTTTTGTAGATTTTGGGCCATGTAACCAAATATAGCACATCTTCTTAAATATTTTTATAAAAATATTTGTGACCAGCCGGGCCTATCCACGCCACTGAAGTAGTTATAAATATTAAATTAAATTTCATCACTAACTCACCAAATCAAATTTAGACAACATTTTTAATAAAATACTTAATATTATCCCAAATGTTTGATAACCCATAATTTTTTATTTTTTAACTTATATATGTGACCTGATTTAGTATATAAACCTGATCAGGACTAATTGAGATTACTGAAAAGTAAAGAAGTCAGAAAAAAGTCAGTCCTACATGTACAACTAAAATCTTCCCAATAAATGTATAAATAAGCATGGTCATATATCTACCTATCAATCTAAGTTTTAGATTCATTCTTCACAATCCGGATGTTTTCCCACTAGATAGTTTTTTAGGTCAGCATCAGGTCTTACAGTTTGCCCTGAAGTGTATTGGGCTGTGTTTACACCGCGGACAGTGCTGCCACAAACCACAATAACGGGTCAGTAATTGGTTATTTCTTAGTGGTTTACCCTTTGACCTTTCAAAGATCTGTGTACTGTGTGAACGTCCATAGATGGCGTGACATAGTAAGGTCAATGTTCTTTTTAAAGACCTGAAAGAGTTCAATAATTCTTAACTTTCAAAAGTTAAGTCAAACATGGATGCACAGGTGAAAAACATAGTGCCTATATTACTAGGTTTTTGTCATTTCTCAGTCAGCATTCATCCGACTAAAGTAACTAAAAGACCTTAAAAACTGCACATTGTGGATAAGGTTCACCTCCTCACCACCATAGCTGTCTGTCATATTACTATTTGTGAACATTACTAGATAATCGCAGGATCGCTTGCCATCTTGACACTTTGCCTCAGCAAAGAACCTGCTGTGTTTCAGTCCAATAAAATGACCCCCTCTGTGTGTTCAACATGGTGAGTGTGAGAGCCATCTGCCTCCCTTCAGGTCCCCCTCGCTCATCTCACCCTACTCATGCTGCTTTATTATAATATCCAATGACATAGATGCTCATTAAGCACCTGTGTCGTGACTTTTATTTATGAAATTATACTACATTCTCTGAAAATTATCTAATAAATTAAACGGTCAAATAATATTTTAAACACTAATGCAATATTTTTGTGCCAGCATATTTTGAGTAATTCGCAAATATGAAAGTTATATATGTGTATCGGAGCTATGTATTTCTTTGGGACCAACGAAGAATCTGGACAGCATGAAAAACAACACCATGTGTGAGTGAGATTTCAAAGATATGAAGTGTTTTTGATATAAAAAATCTGTGTTTTCCAATGGATATTATGATATGCATTAAGTCTTAACTAGATACAGTTTGAAAATGGATGGATGGATGGCAGTACAGTATATTAGGGTATATTGCACAAACCTATTAAGTAACTTAAAAAATGTACATCTAAATGGATTACAATGAAAAAGCTTGTTACCTAATAAAACCAGAAGGTATAATATTCTCAGAAAATATGAATGGCTTTATGTCAAAGTGCAGGAAATGTGGTCTTTTATGAATTCATAGAATATTATTCTTTCAATTGTTCCATCCATTGAGGAGTGAAAGGCACTGCCACAGGTTGGAGAAGAACTGTCTGCAGTCACCCAAGGCGGCACGCGACCCGCATGACTGGTCTCATCATGTCTACGCCTGGAAGCAGCGAAGTTAATGAGCTGGCCTCTCGCCTCTCTGACACAGAGACGCTCGCTGCGCGTGACGTAAATGTGCTGGCCGCGGGACACTGTTCCGCTCAGCATGCCGGCTTCTGGCTATAAGGCCCCAGTCAAAAACAGGATCTATTTTGGGACAGAAGGGAAGTCAAGAAATAGAAGTGATGAGTAGATGTAAACACAATGTTGTTTTTACTGGTCTGGTTTGTGGATGTGCAAAAATGCTGAAATTTTACTGTACAAAACATCCAGTGAAGGATATTTCAGTGGATGTTGGGCTTTTTTAATGAGGTATCATAATATTCTGTTATTGTTCAAATTATTGTTCAATAAATCCCTTCCATAGAGCTCAAACTTGGCCAATGAAAATGATAACCCTACATTACACCGTGGTGTAGCAGACTCACATTCACAGTGATACATGCTCATATTGCAGTAATGTGGAGCTGTTCGAAATTAATGAATAAAGTCTTAAAGCACTTATGTAAGTCGCTCTGGCTAAGGGTGTCTGCCAAATGCTGTAAATGTAAATGTAAGTAATTATTTTATTCTCCATAAATCTAAACTCCAGGGGTCTCCCTGGATGGGGAGCCAGTCCGTTACATATATTTTGTTTATAATGTATTATATCTGTACAATAAAGCTGGTAATTTCCCTGTATTTTAATGTGTAATGACAACAGACCAAAAAGAAAAACAGACACTTGAATATGATCATATATTTTCATTGGTGTGAAATTGCTTTCAGTGATTTAATCCTGTCTAATCTAGTCTAAGAAAATACTAAACCCATGACAAAATAGTAAATTAGAAATGTCTCAAGCACTGAATTATGACAGTCATAACTTCCTTGGGCTGATTTTCCTCAGTATTTTTGTAGCAGTGTTTGAAGTGCTTCAAATAAGAAGGGTCAATGGTGAATTGTATTGGGGATTGTTTTTGTACTTAAAATGAGGAGACAATACACATTCATTTCACAATGTAGAATAATATGTAAAAACAGGAAAAGGCTTTTTGTTGGGAAATACTTTTTTGCAGTTTTTGAAGGCAAGTGCCACATTTGGAGTCATGGAATCTTCTGGAAAGCAAACAGGAATAACTACAGCCCTAGTGTTGGCAGGTCTCCTGGTGTCTCCTGGCCGCTTGTCCAGACGAGGCGGGTTCTACAAAGTAGTTTGAACTTTAGATGCTCTGCAGTGCACTATGACAAAAAGCCCTTTTATACAGTACATGTACAAACCTCAAAGATCACATTGGAATGCCTTGCATTTCATATCACACAAATACAAACAAACCTCCACTCTGATCACCACTCATATGTGTTGCCTGGAACAGAAGTACAGTAAAAATAAATCAGCACAACAAAGAGATGAATGACCAAGAGGCAAAGAAGACAGGGTTACATATTATACAGCCACTGATACGGTGTGGTGACGCCTATTAATGTGCACCTCAGTCGGAGTATCTGTCCCTTCAGAGAAGACCGGGGAAAACCTGTTGCAACATGGGACGTATGTGCTAAAACTGGGCCCAGAGTCAATCGTCTCAAAATGAAGTTTCACCACAGACAGAGAAACGAGGTCCGGGTTCAAAGCCACAACAACAAGGTAACAGCACTAGTGAGCCATTGCAGTGTGAAAAAGTGGCGTTTCTGTCAAACGTTCATTCAGCACACTGCTGTCAGTTTGTTACTCAGAGGTTAAGTGAAGGCTGCATCGTTACCTGTCTCTTTTGTTTTCTTTTTTATTCTGCAAAGATGGGAATTTATTCACTCCTGTCATGTGAGCTGCCAGCTTCACGCTGTCCATCTCGATTGGACACAGGAGAAGGTTCCTCTTCATGACTCGAGTTGGGCTCTATTGTGCAAACAAACAGCCATTTCATTTGGCCCGTGCCAGCTTACACTGAAGAACATTTGTTTAATTCTTTCTGACCCATTTTAGAAGAAGACAAGAGCAGTCCCTCAAAAACTAGCTGCTTTAAAATTACTTAGGAAGCCAAATATTTACACACGTAGAGCATCTTGAGATTTTTTTTTCTCCGCTCGGATTTTGTCTGAGTGAAACACTTGCCCATATGTTCTTACTTGTAAATCATATAGTTAGAACATGGATGACAATTTCTTAATACCAGATAGATATCAGGTACATCTGCAGTTTCACAGTTTATGGCTTACTGTTCACTTTTTTCTTCCTTAAGAATCTTTAAATAATAAAAATGATTCTGTCAGAGTGTATCTTTGCAGTCTGTATCCCAGTATAATATAAGAATACAGAGATTATTCCAGAGGCTGCACATACAGAGGAGGTACAAACACCAACACACGCTGTACTCTATTGTGACATTCTGAAGCAATGAACAATTCTACCGATTTTCCTGTGGAGAAAAACTGCAGGATGTTTGTTCTGATAATATGCTCTGGATTGCATATAGGCGGCTGCCCGCCTCACACACACACACACACACTCTGATAATCACACACAGAGGGACACGCGCTTGTGTACACTCACGCTCCCCCTCCCGCTATCCTTTCAGTGACTGCGCAAGACTGGGCTCCTTGATTGCAGCCAGCCCTTGACGTATGGGACAGCAGGCTCAAGTATTACAGCCCGCCAGAGCAGTGGAGCCTTGCAGGACTCAGAGGCGAAATCACTGCCCGCTTAGACGGTCTATATTTAATTAGAGGTGATGGGACAGCCGGGGAACCCTGGACGGGCTACTCTGTGGGGCTACAGAAAACATCTCATCCGAGGGAACTCTGTCCCGGTGGACGCCATGAGGACAAAGGACCTGTCCCTGAGACAAGACCCCGACCTGAGGAAGGAGCTGGCCATGCTGGCTCGGGGATGCGACTTTGTACTGCCTTCACGGTTTAAGAGGAGGCTCAAGGCCATCCAGCAAGGACAGGCAGGTTGTCCCAATCGCCCCCCTGTGCTGGCGGGCATTCGCTCGATGCTTACTGCACCTGATTCTGCGTGTTTGCTCATTCTTCAGTAGGTGGCTGTTCGTCTGTGTGTGTGTGTGACTGGGGACATTTTTAACGATAAAATGGGTGGAGGTACGAAGATGGATCGTCGTGCGTATGCCATGGTAAATTTAAGCTGGTTTTTTAGCTCCCAGTAGACTTTTGGTCCATGGAGAAGGCTGCCACTAATCAAGGCGTTTCACTGTTTATGCTGTTAATGTTGTGATGTCACCATGACCAAGGGTGAGTTTCCCAAAGCTACGTCTATCTTTTAAGGCAGAACTTATGAAAGACATGGTGTTAAGAAGCCTTCAGGAAACTCACCCCAGATGAGAAGCTATACTTCTGAGTCAAATTTTCAGTGTGCAAAAGCTTCACGAAGATGACATTTGACATTCAGTTTTTTTTAAATGTAATTAATGCCATGGAAAGCTTGAGAGGTATACAAGTGAAAATGTATGTATATGATCCGTTTTCTATTTATCTGCATCAATTTATATATAAAGAGGCAATTGCAAAGCGTCTTGTAAGGTTGTTTATACGGTTTTGTTTATTTTCACAGTCAAATGAGACATCATACTAGACCTGCTCTTCCTGAGTTTTTGGTTGTAATATTGGTTTGTAATGATAGTGTAAATTAGTTTTCTTACTTTCAAAGGCATTTTTCTCAAGCTAAATGGTTGGATCTTACCCACCTGCCAAACTTCAGATATGTTCATGTAACGTATATGACTGGCTGCATTTATGTTAATAAAAATGCTGAGATGGCAAGGTGGTCGGCCAGCATGGTGCCTCAGTAGGTCTCGCTGTCGCCTTACACCTCCAGGATTCAAATCAAATCTGCCTCCCCTGTGTGTGGCTGTGTATGCCTGTGGATGCCTGTGTACAGTATATCTATGTATGCCTGTGTATGCCTGTGGATGCCTGTGTATATCTATGTATGCCTGTGGATGCCTATGTATGCCTGTGTATGCTTGTGTATGCCTATGTATGCCTGTGTATGCCTGTGTATCCATGTGGATGCCTATGTATGCCTATGTATGCCTGTGTATGCCTGTGTATCCATGTGGATGCCTGTGTATGCCTGTGGATGCCTGTGTATCCATGTGGATGCCTGTGTATGCCTGTGGATGCCTGTGTATCCATGTGTATGCTTATTCCCCATGATGGAGTGGCATTCTGTCTGGGGGGGTCCATTGCTCCCTGTGACAGCCTTCCTCCATTCCCCTTATGACCCTGACCAGCAAAAGCAACTGGATTGATTGATGGAAGCTAGTGAGTACATGCTTTCTCTGGTTTTGTGAAATAGATTTTGACCTTGGCTTTCAGCTTTCAGATGATAAAACGTTTCAGTATCTCAGCTAATTTATAGTTTTTGATTTTGATACATTCTGTGTGTATGATTGTGCAATATTACTTGTCCTGTTAAACTTGTGTTATAGTTATAGTATTTATATAATCTTTTGCAGTGAAATATGGTTGTATCTAAAATGTCTTGGGCTTGTAATGACAATGATGGCTGTCCTTCTTGGTCTGTCTGTTGGCAAAATCAGTTTCAGAAAGTGATCAAGTTGTGTACATGGGTTAACTCTCACGCCTACCCTGGGGTAAACTTAACCCCAAAGGCACATGTCTGTTGATTTCTCATAGTAACATAATTATAGTAGGATCGTGTACATAAGAACATAAGAAATTTACAAAGGAGAGGAGGCCGTTCAGCCCATCAACCTCGTTTGGGGAGAACTTAAGTAATAGCTCAGAGCTGTTAAAATCGTATCTAGCTCTGATTTAAAGGAACCCAGGGTTTTAGCTTGCACTACTTGAACAGGAAGACTATTCCATACTCTAACTACACGCTGTGTAAAGAAGTGTTTTCTCAAATTCAGTTTAAAATGTTCTCCCGCTAATTTCCACCTATGGCCACAAGTTCTAGTATTTAAACTAATATTGAAGTAGCCATTTGGCTGAACAGCATCCAGACCCATTAGAATCTTATATACCTGGATCATGTCCCCCCTTAGTATCCTTTACTCGAGGCTAAACACATTCAGCTCAGCTAACCTCTCCTCATATGACATTCCTCTAAGACCAGGAATCATTCTCGTAGCCCTACATTGCACCTTTCCAAGGCAGCAATGTCCTTCTTAAGGTATGGTGACCAAACCTGCACACAATATTCCAGGTGGGGTCTTACCAATGAATTATATAGGCATCACCTCCCTTTACTTAAACTCCACACACCTAGAGATGTAACCTAACATCCTATTGGCCTTTTTAATTGCTTCCCCACACTGGTGAGAGTGGGACATGGAAGCATCAACATACACACCGAGGTCTTTCTCATAATCAGCTACCTTTATTTCAGTGGAACCCATAAAATACCTGCACTTTATATTTCTGCTCCCTGCATGGATTACCTTACATTTATCTACGTTAAATTCCATCTTCCAGGTATCAGCCCAGTCGCTAATTAAATCCAGATCCCGTTGTAGCCTCTGTGCTGCTAGTTCAGTATCTGCTACACCACCCACCTTGGTGTCGTCTGCAAATTTCACCAGTTTACTGTATGTATTGGTGTCAATATCATTAATGTAAATCAGGAACAGTAGTGGTCCTAAAATTGAAAAAGTGTTATAGTTAAGCAAATGCCTGAAAAGTAAAAATGAAGGCAACCACTGATTGATTTGGTTTTAATTTCTTTTACAGTAGCAAAACATCACACATTAATCATTACACATCACAGTAACATTACACATCACACATTAAATTACTTGCAAGTGAAAAGCCAAATGGATCTGAAATGACAGGTTTATGTAAAGCAGTGTAATGCTTATCTATTGTGGCTGAAAAATGTTCTGTTTGTTTCAGCAGGTCCAGCCTGGGAAAGAGGAGACCATCTCACCAGAGATCAGCGAAAACATTCCCAAGTTCTACTTCCCTGGAGGGAAGCCCAAAGAGAACCTCAACATTAACGCTCACATAATCAGAATCCAGAAAATATTTTCACAGTTCCCTAATGAAAAAGCATCTATTGAGGACATGGGGAAGGTAGCCAAGGTTAGTGTGATTCTGATTACTATTTACTCAGCAATTTACAATCATTAATTTTATTAATTTACACACACACACACACACACACACATAAGCCTATATATTCTTTCATTCAACTCAGAGGTTTGTTTTTCCAAAAACTGTGCATTACTGGGCACATATGAGATCCACTTTATTATTCATTTTTCATTTGAGAAAACTGCAGCCCATTACCTAATGTAATCTCCTCCAGGCTCTGTGTACTGTATAAAAGGGATGGACAGTAACGTTTATTAGTGCACACAGAAATGGGCATAGGAACCGGGGCCGGGGGGGACGTGTACTCACCCCAGTATTTCATTTGGCTCCATTCATCCCCCCAGTAAATAGACCATTGCAATTAAATCATGGAATTGTGTCCCCCCCAGTATCAAACGCTCTCCTATGCCATTGCACACAGACGGGAAATTGTTTACATTTTCAGGCTCACATTATAGACTAAACACAGCAAAACTTATCTGTCGTTGTTCGTCAGTAGCCACTTGTGTTATTAGACTAATAATATTTTTCTGACACCCACTTTTTGCCTGTTCAAAATCAATTAGTAAATGATGTGTTATTCATAGAAAACCACTTTGTAACATTGTTACCATTTACTTTGAAGTAGCGTCTTTCCATGCTGTCATATTACACCATTGATAAGTCAACACCATCAATCCAGCCTCTAGCTACCTTTGGGCAAATGAGTCTTTAAGAAGGGCTGAGGAGTTGAAGCTGAGGACCTTACATGAACTAAAAGTAATTAATTAATCTTGGTAGGAAATACAGAGCCATTCTTGTAGAATGAGATCTCTCTGTCTTTTTGCATTCCTGAACTGAAATTGTTTCAGGAAGTCATCCCAAGGCAAAGAGCTGACTTTTGTTATTAAGTGTGTTTTTTCCCCTTGGGGAATGATGCAGTATGTGGAGTTGTCTGGATATGAGTGTGCACTGGGGACAGCTTTATGTTAAAACTGCTGCTCTCCCCAGGCCTGTCAGTGTCCCCTGTACTGGAAAGCCCCATTGTTCCATTCCACTGGAGGAGACAAGACGGGGTTTGTGTCTGTTCACAACTTCACTGCAATGTGGATAAAGTAAGACAATGGTGCTTTGTGTCTGGTAGCGAATTCTCTTCTTCACCAGTACTCTTAAGCAAACAACAGATACATGTAGTAATAGTGGTTTTTATGAATGTGCGTCAGTCTTCCTATTTGACTTTTTGTTATTTTTCTTACTCATGTAGTGTTCAAACATTACAAATGCAGTTGTAAAATTAACAACGAGTGCATACAATAAAACTACTTCTGTTTTTGCCACACAGAGATGGCTATGCAGTATATATCCGAATGTGAAAGGAATTGAAAGATCTTAGTTTGTGTTTAGGTCCATTTTGGTCTCTGTTCTGCCTTCCAGAATGTTACAGACTTGCCATGATGATGCATCCAAGTTTGTTCATCTTCTGGCCAAGCCTGGCCGTTGCTATCTGGAACAAGAGGACTTCATCCCATTTCTGCAGGTTGGTTTTTGTGTTTTCATGTTAGGGAAATAGCTTCCAAACGGTGAGACAAAGGAGTACCAATTTGTGCATTTTGTAGCTTGTCACTGGGGCTGGACCCTCAAGGGTCTACCAACTGTACCATAGCTGTAGGTAAATGTACCTTTTTGTCTAGTTTATGGACCCGAAATGGACTCTGAGGAACATCCCCAAGGGATTAACAACATTAATGTACCTCCAATGGTACAAAATATTCAGAATACTCCATTTCTATCTTAAAAGATACAAATACCTAGGGTAAAGGGTACAATTGGCAGACCCTTGAAGGTACAGCCCCAGTGACAAGCAAAGGTACAAGCTAGTACTTTTTTCTGACAGTGCATTAGTGTCAAGTTCAAGTTTCAGTTTATTTGTCATATGTATGTTAACACAGGGTCAACATAGCAATGAAATGCGTTGGACAAGAAGATAAAAAGGAAATCAGGAAAAGTCTCACAGTATAACCAAAAGTATAACCAAAAGCAGGGACCCCCAAAGATCCCATGTCTGTATCAAACAGGGCTGAGATGATGCAATAAATCCAGACTAGACTAGAGATAATGAAATGTTGTTCTCAGTGTCCTTGATCACAATATCTGTTTGATCTGAATTTATATTACGTAATATCATGTCTCAATACAAAGGTACATTTTTACTGTAAAATCTTATTCAGTGTTTTGTACCCCAGAGTGCAAAAGTGGTCTGTTCTGCAGACCTTCGATTAAATTTCGGCAATGAGTTCAGGGATGTATTGCAGCATCCCAGTTTCATTTGTGCTGTGTGGATTTCACAGTTGCTTTAGCCATTTTGACAAATGAAGTAAATATTGCAATGCTGCAGAACTCACTTTCCCCGGCAGATTCATAACAGTGATTTATGTTCAGCATGAACCTCTTAATACTACATGAGCGTTTTCTGTAATATCAGCAACAGATCGTTCAGCTGGAGGATGATAATCCTTAAGTGTGAAAGTGAGCCAAACATGGCACCTGTCATCTGAGCTGAGACTCAAGAGCATGAACAAAGAGCCTTCATTTCAGCACTGTTAGCACTGCCAACCAATGCCTCTACCGCAGTGTTTCACAATCCGGTCCTTGGGGACCCATAGTTGGTCCATGTTTTTGCTCCCTCCGAGCTCCCTACCAGACAGTCCACATTTTTGCTCCCAGTATAGCTGGGAAGGAGCAAAAACCTGGGAGCAAAAACTGTCTGTGGATTCCCAAGGACCAGACTGGGACACACTGCTCTACCTAGACTCTACCTGAAAGACTAAGACAACATGCAGTACATATTTTTGATGCAAAGAACATTGCAATGTATCAATGTTATTCTTCAGCTCTGATGCTATTTATCCAACTTTGTGTAGAGATGATTGTAACTCTTCTCAGTGTCTTGCATTGCAGGACGTGGTAAACTCACATGCCAGTCTGGCATTTCTAAAGAAAGCATCTGATTTCCACTCTCGGTACATTACCACGGTAAGAGACTCCAAGCGAATTGTTAATCACAATAATATTGAATATAATAATATACTGAATATGATATGATAATATAATATATCTTCTAGTTAACACAAATTCATTTTCTTCTACAAAACTGTCTCTCATTAACAGGTAATCCAAAGAATATTTTACAATGTAAACCGATCTTGGACAGGAAGGATTTCAAGTTCAGAACTCAGGAGGAGCAATTTTTTGGAGGTTTGTTCTTTTTTCCATGAATATACACCCAGCCATGCAGTTCGGTGATAGCTTTGATATTCTGGCAGATGTAGATGTGTTTGGTCAGTGGAAGAGACACAGTGTGAGGTTATAAACCCTGCTGTTCGTCGTAGGCTGGCTAACAGTATTAGCCTTTCTAACAGAACGTGGCCCTGCTGGAAGAAGAGACCGATGTCAACCAGCTGACTGACTACTTCTCCTATGAACATTTTTATGTTATTTACTGCAAGTTCTGGGAGCTTGACACAGACCACGATCTCTACATAAGCCAAAGTGAACTGGCTCAGCACAGCCACCAAGGTACCTGTCCGCTCTGGCTAATGACCTCACAGAGATCGTTATGACATCATTATGTTTACCCAGGGAGTTTTGTTTTCCCCTTTTGCTTACTTCAAACTATAATATTTTTGCATCTCTTCCATTGTTCATTAAATTTGTTTCCAAGTAACAACAGCGTAATGTCTAGGTTTGGTAATTTCTTTTTCAAGCCTGTGTATTTATGAAATGACAAATATAAAAGGCCTATAATTATTTTTCATTTATTTTTACTGCAGTTGAATTGATTCCTCATATGCGATAAAACAAACAAACAAATTCATAAATACAGTATTCATAAATTTAGTCCCAAATGTCAAATTAATGTTGGGTTAATTTGGGTTTTTATGCTTGTCTCTCGACAGTCTCGCGTAAAATTATTGAGAGAATATTCTCTGGGACTGTAACCAGGTAAATTAACTTCACCACCTATTTCTATTCATCCCTGTTGCTGTGGTTTGGATAATATTAGGGATTTAGAGAGAATAATCCCAAGGTGAGGCAGGTGCTGTTTGATCAGCTGATTTTCAACCCCAGTCTTCTTTGTAGGAACAAGAGGACATCCAAAGATGGAAGAATGAGCTATGCAGACTTTGTCTGGTTCCTCATATCGGAAGAGGACAAGAAAACTTCTACCAGGTACCCTGATAACCTATTTCAGCTTCTACCTAATCATAATTCATTATTTGATGTATTAGGTAATATAACATTTTTATACAACAGTTAGTTCTGACTAAGAAATCTGATTGGACAAGAGGCGTTCTATGAGTGCAGTTATCAGAGTATAACCACACTGAGATGCTTTATCATCAGATGTATCACCCCGCTTTACAGATGTATCTAAAAACTGTTACTTAGTTACATTTAAATGATGCAAAATAGTTCGGAGGGATAATTATCTTTGACACTCAGCCTGCAGCCTCTTGCCTACAACCAAATAAGAGCCACGATATATTGGAGTACAACTCTACTCCTTCTCACATGTTATTGCTTAAATAAGATGCTCTGTATCGCTTAGAAAAGTACAGCTGTAAATGTTTGTTCTCATCACGCGGTTCTGCTTGTGTTAATATGAACCTTAATTACCGTTCTCTGAATGGCCTGTTGGTGCCGCCATGTCTGCCACTTTCAGCATAGAATACTGGTTCCGCTGCATGGACCTAGATGGCGATGGGGTCCTGTCCATGTACGAGCTGGAATACTTCTACCAGGAGCAGTGCCACAAGCTGGAGAGCATGTCGATAGAGCCTCTCCCTTTCGAGGACTGTCTCTGCCAGATGCTGGACCTTGTCAATCCCCAGACCCAAGGTACACACTGTCAACACCCACAGGCAGGTCTTAGAGCCATGAAATGTAACCCATCCGTCCTTCCAGCATGCATCACTAGATCCCCTGTGCAGGTTGATTGCTATTGCTGGGGTGGATGACTAGCTACTATGACTGACAACTGTGAAGCGCTTCAGAAAAACACTTCTGAGCTGTGTTCTGTGTTTTTTTCCTTAAATCTAAATTTACTGGTGCACAAAACATCCTATATGCTGAATAATATGCTCACGTTGCTGCAATGCCAGATCGTAAGCAATGCTGAGTTCAAGGGGATATATGTACAGTGCTCTGTAGATAAACTGCTATGTGATTTCACTAGGAAAGATCACCCTTTGTGACCTAAAAAGGTGCAAGATGTCCCATGTCTTCTTTGACACTTTCTTCAACATTGAGAAGTACCTGGAGCATGAGCAGAGGGACCCGTTCTCAGGACTGAGGGTAACTACAGCGTCTTGACAGAGAAAGTGTCACAGCTAGAGCACATTAGTGGAGGGTCTGGTAAGAGCTGATGTGCTCTCCTCTCCAGGACCAGAGCAATCCTTACGCGTCAGACTGGGAGAAGTATGCTTCTGAAGAATATGACGTCCTGCTGGCAGAGGAAATGGCCAATGAACAGGAGGATAACGGGTAAGTTTAATAGAGTTAATAAGGAACAGTAAGAGGAACAGTAAAAACTTTATGGTCAGACTGTGTAATTTGCTATGACGTAACCGTTAAGGGGGCTGATATACATAATATACATATATATAAAGGAGCTGCAACATTTTAGGAATCTTGTGTATGAGCTTCTATGGTTTAGTCCATTTTTACACCAATAGAGGATGTACGGCACTAACAATTTTTCGTTCTAGGAACGTTTACCGAACGTTGCGATTAAGGTACAGAAACATTCAAAGTGTCCAGTTTCCCTGATGTGCCCAGAATGTTATAGCACTGCTTCAGCTACTACCACAGCTAACGCTAATAATATGGAAAAAGCGTAAAGGCATGGCAGAACAGAGGGGGGCGCCACTATTACGCTTTATACATCAAAGATCATGGGTTCAAGACTGGATGATGTGTTCATAATATACACACATAGCATGTTTATAAATTTATATTTTAGTATAAAAAATGTTTTTCAACATTAATTACATTAAAAGCATGTTGAGGTAATCATGCTGACATTGACAGAATCTTTGTTAAAATGTGAAAATAACGTTCCATTAATGTTACAGTAAGAATGTCCTCAGCTAACTTTGAGAAGACCTCCACATAACATTGAAGTGTGCTTGAGCATTTCCCATGTGCATTTCCTCATGTGACGAGTGCTCACCGTCTATCCACTGCAATGAGCACAACCAGCCCTTGTATCCCGCTCACGGGAGTTTTACTCACACAAAAATGTTCTGTGAGCAAAACAAAAAAAATTATTTATTCAGAGAGATAACCAATCAGATTGTAGAGGTGGTTAGTCCAAGTAATTAGTGGAGGTGGGACCAAGACATCTGATTAGTTGGCCCTGCCTCCTCTAGTTTCTTGGTCCCACCTCCTCGACAATCCGTTTATATCTCTGATCCAATCATTTTTCATTCTGTTCTCAGAACATTTTTGTGTAAATAAAAGCTTCTACCTCCTGCTGCTAACCACTGATTTATTACCTTGTTTTGCTTTAGTTCATACTAGTTTTAAGACTTTCATGATTATGGGTTTTCAGCAACAGAAAACATCAACTCAGAATACAGCCTTAAAAGAAGGTGTAATGTCATTTTTTTCCCTGTTCAGGTATGAAAATACTCATAACCCAGTAAACCACCGCATGTTGGGTGAGTTTACCCTGCGGACAGGAAAAACACACCTGTTTGAGCTACCCGACCCCCAGTACACTCTGGACATGTACGAGTACGACTATGAAGATGATTTCGAATGCCATTTCCCAATGTAGCTTCTGACGATGAACAGAAGGATCTCTGGATCAATGATAAGATGACTGGATTTGTTGCCATGGAAAGCCGTTGCACTGAACAATGGGACCAAGAAGCATTTTCCCCGAGGAGCCACGTGTTGAAGGAGCAGCAAAGGTCTTGTACAATAGATAGTGATGATGTAATTTTTTTTATACAAGTCAAAGTGAACATCCATGTGTTCAACCACCACAAATTAACAGCACAGATTCGCTATGGTCATTCCTTAGCATGGTCATTGTAGCATACGAAATGCTGTACCATTTCACAGAACAATATTTCACTTACTAAAATGCACACCTCCGCGTGTATGGAAGCTACTGACCTGCTATATTTGAATTTTTAACATTATAATATTAACAAAACGTACCAGTGGCAATATGCATGAAGTTAATTTTAAAGCAGTAAAGGTCTTTTTGGTAAAGTTCTTTTAAAAATGTGGTGCCTTACATAATAATTGTCAAAGGTGAATATTTTCCCATAATTATTTTTTACAACTTTTTTTATTTCGTGAAATATTATTATAGACATTCATAAAAGGAGCACCGGTTACATTCCTGCACTTTCGCAAATCATTCTGCAATATTTTGTCATTTTATATCTGTAAATTTTTAATTTTATCTTCTTTAAGAGAAGTATAGATTTTAAATTTTTATATAGATCGTTTTATTCTATGCCAACCGGAGGCCTATATGACAAAATAATATGGACAGTGACATTTCAAGTAAATATTTAAAACTATATAATATTTGTAGACTGTGTAGGGTTTGAAGTTCCGCAGAACTGGCCTGATGCGAGGTTTTGACCTGAAGCTGGTCGGATCCAGTTTTGGTGATATTGGGTGAAGGGCCTGTTTGGACAGTAGTTCTCACATTCTCCTCATACTGTGTATTTAGAAGCGTTTCCTGTATAAAATGTTCTATACAGCAACACAGCTGATGCCCATACCTACAAAACAACACTGCGTGCAGTCAGAATATCGTTAATTCACTGCATTTTTCTGGTGATTTAGACCCACAGAATCCTTAAAGACAGTTAATAGTTTGCAGGCCAAACACACAGCCAGCATTTGACTGCCCATAGACTTTTGGGTTTTAGATAGTAATCATTGTCATGACAGCGCACCTGTGAATCGGCAAGCTACTGTAAGCTACAGGTAGTCAAGTTAAATATGAACTTTGAGGTATTTACACATCTCATAAGCATATACTGGACATACTGTTTCCATTCTGCCCTTTTTATCAACAAGAGCTGAGTCTTATTTGCATTCCAAAAAAGTTTTACTCATACATAATGACCTCATGAACTGAGATACTTTGTGTGACTCTACTCTTAATACCCACAAACACGCATCTGAATCTTCTTACAAGTTATGTGACTGGAGATTATTTTAAATAAAAAAGAATTTCTCATTAAGAGTGTTTTATGTTTGTGATATGTCTAAATATTTCAACAGCACGAGCCTGAGGGAGATCTTTGACGAGTTAGCGAATAAGATTGAAGAGAAACGCTGCCACCTGCTGGACAAAGAAAATAAGTAACTATGCAGTGGAACGCGTCACTCAGAAAAGGGTTTTGAAGCTCGCTGATGAGAAACGAAAGCCTTTCAACCTCAAATAAAATAAAATAAGGATTAAATCAGGACTTAGAGAAGATTCAGATTCTTTGTCCAAGAGAGATTTATTCCAAGCCCAAAGAGCCTATGTTTAGCATTATGAGTTTAATTCAGAGTTAACTACAGGAAACTAGAAAATAACACCATCAAGCATTTGCAAGTGACTGACATTCCCACAATTAAGCTTTGGGAAATTAATTTTCAGATAGAATACTATTTTTTTCCTTCAAAATATTCAGACTCCCAAAATTACGCTTTGTGATAAATTTTCAAAGTACAAATGAACCAAAAATACAAAGTATACTATTATTTCCTTTAAAATATGAATTCACTGAAAACATCGAACCATGTGTCTCACCACAACATTGACTCCATAAAGCAGTTTTGTAAGGGCTGCACATCAAGATGACCATGTGGGTTTTATTGCCAGCCGGTGACCATCCAGGTCTTAATAGATATTAGTCTATTGCTAAAAGGTAGCACTCATGCAGACGGAAGTATTGCATGTTGAATACTTTATCGAATATTTACCTCAACGTAGCTTCCATAGCCCTGTATGGAGCGTTGGACCATGGGAGGCCTGCAGATTAACCCGGGAATCCCTGGGTACCTGCACAGAACACAGAGTTAACTCACCTCGATGCTTCTGGAACGTAGGACAAAACGACAGGAACCCCTAAGAAAGCCCACACAGCCAGAGCACAAAGCATGCCAACCACAAACACATATTTGTATTCATATCTTTGTGGGGACCGCCCATTCATTTCTATGGGCAAAATCCTAATCCCAACTATGACAACCTTAATCATAGTTAACAAAATAATATACAAGACTTTCTATTTTTAGTTTTTTTTATTGCAGTCACAGACTCTTATGAAATTTATGAAAGTTTCCTGAAAAAAATGGGGATGTTTGGTCCCCACAATGTAATATATACATAAGCCACGCTTTAAACCCCCAGCCCCAGAGGTGTCAGGTACTGTAACGCTACATTTTTGTTTTAATTTAGCAAATGCTTTTATCTAAAGTGACATATGAGTAAGAAGGCAAGGTCAGACGGCCCCTGGAGCAATTGGAGCTTAGGGACCTTGGCCAGGAGCCCAATGGCGAAATCACTCAGGGATTTGAACCCATAACCTTCTGATCACAGGCACAGGACACTAACACACAGAGCCACACACTGGCCCAAAACTACAACCCATTATGCCACTAATCCACCATGCCAGGCTACCACAGGGCGGCACTTCCCCTGCTCTACAGCGTCCCTGCCCATGCCGGAAAGGTGTGTGTTCTAGTCACACTCAAGTTAGGAGTTTGTGTCTTTGTTTTTGAGTAGCACCACGAGGAACCCAAGGAAAATTCTATTTGAATGTGCTGCGTACTCCTACGTGGATGCACTGACGAAGGACTCGAGTCTTGAGTTAAGAAGAAATGATAAAGAACCATATGAAATGACAGAATGACGACACCAGATCTATTTACTTAAATAGCATTTATTAAAGACAGACATTTCATCTCACATTCTTCTATTCGGTCACAAGAGCATCCCATAATAAAATAGGGCTTACTTATAAACTTTGTCACAGTTTTACAATATGCAAAGTGACACTTAACTGACAAATCACAACATTAAAAAGGGAGACATTTATATAGGAGTACTAAGCAAAAGTAAATTCCAATACATCAATAATATTGGCGTTTTGGTATAAAATCTATTTGAATAAAGCTTCTTGCAAAATGTCCTGTTACAACTATTGTTTATCCTAGTAAGCAAAAAATGTACAACTGTAGGTAAAACAGTGAAGTGCGAATGGGAGGAAAATAAATTAAAATCTACAGTAGCTTGTACTTTCATTTATGACTTGGATTCTGCAGTGCTCATTCATTCGTTAAGAACATCCTTACAACTGAATTTTATAAAGTTTTTGCATCATAACTGTTTGATGGCTAAAGGCAACTCAGCCATAGACACTCAGCTTTGACATCATTGTCAAATGAAGAGATTCATTTTCTCTGGGGCACAGTAGGCAGTGTACAGGAGTGGCTCCTCTCAATGTAGGATTTAGAGCGCAGAAGAGAAGATGCTATGGGCGACCACCAGGGGGCAGTGTAAGAGTGGCCATGAGTTCATGAACAGAGGCGAATACCGTGCATTCACCTGAGGAGAGAGGAAGAAGTGTAAGTGCGCAGAGAAACTGAAGGACTTAGCTCACATTAAATACCTTAAAACTTGACGTGAAAATATCTGAACAGGGATTAAGTACCTTTCGCCCACCTGCACCAGTTCAGAAATGCTGGTTCTTCAAAGCATTTAACACAAGAGCTTTTGAAACTTCCTGCTTAATTAAAATCTATGTGCCTTTTATGCCTTCTATCCCCCTGAATGGATAAGAGATATCTCAGGATTTCTCTGAAAACGGGGGCCTTTCCTGACCTTGGCGTGGGGGGTGCATGTCGTTGAACCTCTTGAGGATGCTGCTGACCATGAGGGCGGCGGCTCCGGAGGAGCTCTGCTGGCGCGGGATGTCGGCCTGCTGCGTGAGGCCCGTGGCCATGTCGTACACGATGGGCACGATGAGGCACACGGGCTCCTGGCCCAGGGGCATCCGCTGGGTCAGCTGGAGCTGAGTCGGGGGGGCAAGGCAAAGGAAGAAGATACAAGAGTCGAGATTCTTTGTCATCATCTCACCATATAAGGTGACATGTGCATAGAAGTACATAGTTCAGATCCAGAGAGCAAAAATCCAGACCATGATTTTGTTCCAACCAACCAGCTGAGTACTCTGTGACAGACTCCTTATACTCAACAGGCTGGTTGAAATAAAATCCTGGTGTGGATTTTTACTTTCTGCATGTGCGCAGGGCTACCAAGAAATGTTACTTCTCCGGGGCCACTGTGCAATTTATGATGAAGTTGAGACAAAAGAAATTAAAATTAAAAACTAGAGAAAGCATCCGCTCATCATTCACACCAAAGTAAAATATTTAGGATAAATAAATACCGGTCTGCATGCGTACATACAACAGCCATACAGATCATGCATAAGCACACATATACATGCATAAATGTTGGACAGGACAAGAACATTAATCATCCTGAGCAGCATCAGCAGCCATGGCAAAGAAACAGGCACATAGATCTGAGAGGGATGTTACTCCACCTTTACAACAAAGGCCAAGCAAATCCCTCGCTGTGGATCTGTGGCCAGTCATATCAAAAGCGGAGGACAAACTAAAGGTCAGGGCTTAGAAGTGAAGTTACCGTACAGAAGGCGATACTTACGAAAAACAGCATTTTGGATTTCAGAACCACAGCGATGGTGCCGGGGGGGGCGATGGGAGGCGCACTGGGGGGGATGGTCAGGCAGAACTGCACGTTCCACTTGAGCTGGGCAGCCTGCTCTGGAAACTGGACCAAAACAGAGATCGAAGTAGTGACACGCAGGTCCACGGGCAAGGAAAGGGTAAAATACTGAGCGCTGCCACGAGAGCCGCGCCCCCAGGACTCACCAGCTCCAGCTTCATGATGCGTACACAGTCCCTGAGGATGTTGGTGGGGGCCCCCAGCAACTTGGTAAAGGCATTTAGGGTGTTGTACTTAAAGGGGGGTCCTGCAACCTAAAGAGGGCAAAGGACTTTGAAACACACTGTAAAACAGGATTTCCCAACCCAGTCTTCAAGGACCACCAGACGGTCCACGTTTTCGCTCTCTCCCAATTCCCTGGCAATTGAGAGAGAGCAAAAAACGTGAACCGGCTGGTAGTCCCCGAGGACTGGGTTGGGAAACCCTGCTGTAGAAGACATATTCAACGTAAAAGACAAAGGACATAAATATCTACTCTGGGTCTGTCTAATATTCTGAAATAAATCAGCCCCCCTCTGCTAACCAGAACAGCCAACAGCTTCTGTTCACGGTGATCAAGCTACATGCACTGGATTGATGATCTTAGAGAAGGTCAGACAGAGGCACCATTGCACAGGAGCAGCACAGAAAACAGATCAAATGTCCTCAGTACCTCAGAGCAGTTTTAAGTTAATCTGTAAAAGCAAAGAATGATGGGAGATTCCTAAACAGGGACACAGGTCGATTGCGAGGATCCGCTTGCACACATTCCTCTTAAAACTAGAATGCTGTAGATCAAAAAGAAAAAACTCTTGTACTTGGATTTCTGTGTCACATTCTTTCCTTCCACCCTGTTCCTTCTGCCTTCAGTGTCTGCGGAACACCCCTCCGGGGCAGGTGTACATACAGGAACACGATCCAAACCTCAAAATCCACAGAAAGTACGTAAACAGAGTAGGGGTTGGCTGCCTGCCCCATGAAGATAAAGGTGGCAGACAAACTAGCAAAAGCACCTAACAAGGAACAGGACCACCCACTGACTTCATGATAGCTTCAGTGCTTCTCGGACCCGTCATTCAAATACTAAACTGAGTGCAGGAGGTTAGAGAACCGAATGAAGAAGAGAAGCCTCATGTTCTTGGAGGGATGAAGGAGGGGGATTGACTTTGCATTCCGGCCACCAGAAGATTCAGCGCCGTTTATATCAGATTAGAGAGGCCATAGCAGCCATTTTACTTCATCCAATTGTTCAAGATGCTGCAGTATATTTACCATTCTGTAATCATGAGTGTTAGTACCTTGTTCTGTAAAATGGCATCGTATTTCCTCGATCATTGTGTAACCCCTTACAGTATAGCTAGAATGACTCAGTAGTTTTGTGGTGTTTAGCAATCGCCGTGTCGTGTGTCATCTAGTCCTGTTGGTGAGCTTCAATTAGCAATGACTATTCCCTCTTTCCCAGTTTGTGATCAGCATAATTTTTGCAGAATGTTTAATTCATTGAGGGAAACAATTTAGCAGTTTTTGTGACTGATGCACCTGCAATTCACATATCGACTCTTATTCCTCATGTTCCTTTGAAAACTGTGTGTTTGACCCCGTTCATAGGTGACACAAAAGGCTAACTTGCATTCGACTTAAAGGGACTCACATTTGCAGCTGTGTTTGTTGTTATGATTAAGTCACATTGAAATTTAAGCCTTTTTCATGTGTCATTTGATTTTTTTTGCCCACTCCTGTACAGACACTACCTGGTCCACAGCCAGGGACATTGGGGCAAAGCATTTAATCCCACATTAAATGCAGATTTTGCCCTAAAGCCTAACCAAGCTTTGAGCTCCTTGACCAGTTCACAACCCTGAATTTCACTTTTTAAGGTTCATCACTCCTTTTCGTTCTTTGTGGTGTGGAAACGCTCATGCAGATTAACCACAGAGCTATACTAGAGGTACAACACCACAGCCACGACAACCGGATACAGGTGAGCAATTGGGATGCCTTACCCTGGTCTCAAAGAACTTCTCCAACACCTGTAACTCCTCCGAAGCCCAGGGTCCTGCATTCTCAGGAGTCACCTTCAGCTGGAGGGTCTGGTAGGTCTTGGGGTTCAGCGCTACCCTGCACTTGAGGACGTCTGTCTTGAACATGATGACGCCAGGTTCATTCGAATTCACTATGGTGAGCTGAGGGGCACAAGCAGAGCAGCGTAAGGAGGACGGTGCTTAATAATTAGTAATGGCCAAATGAAGCTTCATGAACCATTTGCTGTACTTTCTGACCCCACTAGATGGTGCTCTATGTTCCAAAAAGAGCTCAAAGCATGCCCCAAAGCAAACTAACAGCACCATCTAGTGGGCCAATATAGCAAATACAGCGAGTGGCTCATTATGCAAATACAGCAAATGGTTCATGAAACTTCATTTGGCCATAACTACTAATAATCGCCTGACCAATCAAAAGCGTGTTACCATACCATACCGTGCGGGCGTGTAACATATCAGTTAACTGTGGATATGCAATCTTAAAATTTGCTCGTTTATTATTTCAGGAAGCACCATGTTGAAAAACCTTCAAGTGTAATCTAATGCACTACAGAAAAATATCCATCACCCAGTTGTCATGATGAACTTAAGGGCACTTACAAAAGAGGTAAGTTATATGCACAAAACACATGCCAGAAATTGTGAATGCACATTATAAACTGGTTGTACAAGAGATTTGTATTACTCACGTTCCACCTGATTAACCTCTATCTATGTGTGATGCTTAAATTCAAACCACTGGTCTAACACACCAGCATCATGCATTAGAAAGATACATGGTCCTGAAAAAGAGAGAGAAACTGTCAAAGAGGGTAGGAGAGCAGAAAGGGTAGATAAGACTGGACAGTAAGAAAGAATAAAGGGAGATGAATGTAGAATTGAGAGTGCGAGTTATCAAGCAACTGCAACGCGGAAAAAGCTGAAGCAGAAAGGCCCCCATAGCTTTCCGAATTACTATCTTATCATAAAAATAATTTAAAAAAAATTAAAAATAAAAAAAAAATCAAGGGTTCGAGGGTTTTATTTATCACATGCAAGGTACATGGAATATTATGGGAGGTATTTTCTGCAAAAAATAAAATTTAAATGAAAATGATAAAAAGAAAATACAATCTCCACAATTTCCATTCCAGTCTGTGCGTAAAAATCCTGCACAAATTAAAATTAAAATGAAATAGCACTATTTGCATTTTAATTTTCCACTCATGTATGAGTCAGATGTGAAAAATTGAAAAATAAAATTAAAAACCGTTTTTGTCTTTTCATTTTCCAATTTGACTTTTCATTTCCTACTTTGGCTTTTCACTTTCAAGTTCACTACATGCAAACTAATGGCAAAGACACACGCGGCTTAAGTTAGCTACTAGCTACAGCTTCCGATTCATTTAGCTTCTTATTTGTAGCGTCTTATTTCACGACTTAAGGTACTTGCAGCTTCCTTATAGGGGAGTGTTCGAAGCTGCACATCTTGTGCAGTTTTTAGTTAAAACATTTTGAAAATACGAAATTAAATATTATGTCGTGCGATATAATGGCAGGTATGCCATTGTAAGGAAACACTGAAATTAGCCTGGGTCAGACTGCCATGTTTTCAGCTA